CACACTTGGTCAATAACCCATATATGTGACGCAGTATCTAAACATTCAACAAAATCAATTTTGACTATTGACCTTACTGAAAATAAAGACAAAAAAGATCTGCACTCGATCTAACGTGGCCACACTGCAGAAGCTTAATTTTACAACATAAATCAACAAGAAACATTGACACTCTTCCTCAACAAGATGCTTCTCCGTCACAGGGTTACCTCCTGGTATTTTATTAGACTGCCCTAAAATGTCGCTGGAACCCATTTATACACCTGGGTGGAGGGAGGCACTGCGAGAGTAAAGTGTCTTGCCCATGAACACAGCAGAGTGAATCCGGGCAGGCCTCAAACCCAGCCCACTTGATCCAGACCCCCACCTACTAACCATTAGACAAACGCGCTATTCATAAGTCTCAAGTACAAAGTTTTCACATGTAGTCACGGCAGCCATATTAGTGTCCCAAAGCAACAAAACAGCGGTCACGTTCGTGTGCCAAACCAATCTTGTGGGAGTTGAACTCTTTTTTTAGTTAAATACCTTGTTTTGTTGCAATAAATTTGCATGGTTGCTGGCCACGTGAGTGAAAACACTCTATACACTACTGAATAAGGCAATAAATTCCCACTGCATACCCATCTTAGTACCTCTTGGAATTTTGCCAGGTTTCGTCTTTTGGGAAACAAAATAGCCACGAGTTTCTCAAGGAATTCTTGTGAGGTGCACACCACACTGAAGCTGGTAATGTTACGATACAAGAAGAGCAGGAACTGAAGTAACGTCTCGGGGTATTCCCTCAGCCAGGAATGATCTGCTGTGTCTTGCCATGGCTACAGAGAAATAATCAATTAACTACACATTCTATGTAATATATCAAACACAAAAAGATTGTGTTTGACCACATTTCCAAACACCGAGCAGAGAGTTTAAAATATGATGCGTAGCGGAGTATTTTTGATGAACTTCAAGGTGTTTGGAAATGTGGTCAAACACTGTCTTGAGTGTTTGATATATCTTCTCAATCGAATCTAAAGCTAGGGAGAAAACGGAGAAATAAAATCGTAAAAATCTATGCTAATTAAGATCAGATATCCAAACACCGCGGTCATGATTTCCTTTGTCTAAACTTGATGCATTATTAATGAGTTTGAGAAGCAATCCTGACCTTCAATATTCAATAGCCCAATTTCGATATATTAAAATTCAGCCTATACACCTCAGCACGAGGCTCTGGGGAATAAACCCCACAAACTCTGTAGTTATTCCCCAGAGCCTCGTGCTGAGGTCTATTGTTCTAGGCTGAATTTCAATGTATCGAAATTGGTCTATTGCACTGTTCAACACCATCTCTTAGAGGTAAACATAAATATTGAATTAGCGCATAGTCTGTGAGAGATATATGAAACAAGATCCTCTTTTGTGAATTTATAATAATAAAAGTATTTATACAGCGCCAAATCTACTAATTGTCCATGGCACTTTACACTAAAGATTATTAAAAAGCTAAAAGAAAGGAAAAAATCGCGAGGGGAAGGGAGGAAGAAAAGGCGAAATTGCTTCTTTTACTTCAAATAAATACGTTCGAAAAATATTTTAATGTCTTATTAACAGCTTTGTCGACGATAGCAGGACTGCTAGAGTCCACCACTAGCACCATTAAACCAGTACTAGTCACTCCGTGTTATATGAAGTACTCACCTCATTAACCATGACGAAAACCATGGAGAGAAGCACATGGGCGGCCTCGGGACAGTAGATGTTACGTGAACCAGGCTCAGGGGGACTACGGGCGGGGAATTTGACTCCTGAGGCCGAGGGTGACCAGAACACAGAGGTCAAGCTGTCCCAGTCAAACTGAACACCGGCATACACATCTGAAACAAAAAGCTGTTGAGTCAACTAACAAATTCTCTTTGCTCATCATTATATATTTGTTACAGCATAAGTTGTGAGAATTTGATTATGAATAAATTAGAGACACCTTTGTTGAAGAGTGTTTAAGTTCTCCCAACCTGTATGTTTGAACTTCTGTTGATACGTTTAGGAGAAAATGCGTGTCAGTCACTATTATATATAATCAAGGTAACAATGTACACGGTTTCCGCTTTAAAGACAACTGCTGTAGATATTTTACTGACCTAGGAGAGGCCTTGAAGAATTGAATACGAATAAAATAAATACAAGTACAAAGAGTTATTCCTGAGAACTCTTCAATGTAAAAGAGACAAAGGAAGATTGTAAGAAAACTGACAGAAACCTCAAAACGCTTACAGAATCTTGTTTTTTGGTCGTAATTTGACTTCACTCACCCCCTCTAAGAGATAAGAATTCAAAATAAAACCCTAACCGGTTGGTTTTTTTTTACATTTGCTGATTATGCCAAATACCTTTTTCTGTGATACTAGCTCAAGTGACAACCATAAATAAAATAAAAATAAAAGACTTTATTTAACCTGAAAGGCCAATCAGTGATCACTGGATCACTGGTATTGACTGGCGATCAGCATTTACATATAAAATACAGCTATTCATAAAATTGTACTTAAAAAAAATAAATAAATGAAAGACTTACCATACTGCTAAGTCTTTTATTTTATGGTTCAGTTTAATAGGATAACTCTAATGTTGGTCCTATTCTGTTCTAACACCCAAAGCAGTAAACATCAAACCCTGTCACTTTAAAATGGTATTTGCACTCCCCCACTCCCACCCCCCCCTTTTTTTTCCTTTGGAGAGAAAGCGCGGGGAATGACAATATGGTAGGCTAACACTTTAGAAATGTCTCCCAGCGAATAAGTGAGTTATTTACTTACCAGACACAGGATGACCAAGCAAAAGAGCAATCACAAGATGATAAATTTCAGGGATGTCGATATGTTTGGACAGCAGTTTATCGAGCATCAGGAATCCAGGAACACTGCACACTTCTCTGTTGATCTGGTACTTTTGCTTGTTGTCAGCAACGAAGCCCACATTAAAACCTGCACAAGAAATTTAGCACGAGATTTTAGGCGTGCATTCTTGACCTTGTGTTAATTGAAATACGGTGGAACCTCTCCACAACGGCCACCTTGGGGACAGAGGAAAGTGGCTGTGGTAAAGAAGTGGCCGTTACGGGAAGGGTAGGGGTGTAATATGACACCTGGGGTTTTTTTTCGGGGGTGCAGCAATTTTTGTCCAAAAATGCTTATTTTAGCATATATAAATCAAAATGTATCAATACAACAGAAACAGAGACCAATGACGCGCGGTACGGATCAAGTTTGGTGACTTTTTACAATAACAAATGAGGTTTTGTATGCATCCTTCGTCAGTTGTTGATTAATGGCCGTTGTCAAGAGGTCATTTTGGCCGGTTGGAACGAATTTTAGTGGCCGTTGCCATTGTGGAGAGGTCAGTGATCGTTGTGGAGAGGTTAAAAAAAGGGAGAAAGTATGGAACGTCCGCCGGGACAAAAAAAGTGGCCATTGTGGAGAAGTGACCGTTAGTGGAGGTTCGACTGTAATAATAATTCTCATCAGAAGGTTAGAAGGTCTGAAGTGGTAAGAAAACAAAGTATTCGACCTTATAACCCACCCATTAATTTTGGCGCGATTTTATTGGTTGCTTTACGTCACGTGGTGAAAACTCACAGGACAGTTATCACGCAATAACCCCCGCCAGCGTCGATATTTTTCCTCCGATTGCTTCCGTCGAAGAGAAACACAGTCAGCACAAGAGTTTCAAATTTTCCTTTCTCTTATTTTACATGGAAGGAAACCATACTCGTTTTGTTGAGTCTAGCGATAGTGATATTAAATAGCTCGTCTCAAATGCTGTTCTGGAAAGTACATCAAATTTTTGAGTTTTTGATCTAAGGGGCGTTACGAGAGTTAATTTTACATTATTGTCATTAATTTCACATGACAGCTTGTCAAGTTTTGGTCCAATCACAGTGGAAATAAAGTTAGTTAAACCAATGAAATGTACTTGCTTGCTTACGTCAATCACGCGCATTCGTCATCAGATCACCACTGGCTTTTTTACCATGTTTACGAGCGGTTTAATTGTGATGTGAACATTAATGGGAGTGGTTGAAAATGGCGGGTGATTTGTAACCCGTCTGCTTTACTTTTCAGACCTCGTGACGAATATTACTCTTATTTCAATTGAACACAGATACCACATTTGGAAAATCTCACAAACCAAATTAATCTGATAAACATATCTCGGCAAAAAAGAAAACAATTATCTCTCAGCCTTTGCTTTAAAGCTCTGAACAAGCATAAATAACTATGATCAGAAACAAAAGACACCTTGTCTCGTCATTTTCAATCATCGATAAAAAAAAAAAGGGAGAAAAGCTTAACACGATGTTTTGAGGTAGAAATGTTTTTCTAAATTTAATCTCATTCGAAGTTTCAAGCAACCACAAAAAAGCAACGTGTTGTGTTTAATTTTATAACATTTCCGACAAATTTGGGTAATATTTCTAAGTTACTGATTACAAACACTTCTTTTAATGTAATTCTGCGAATTTGGTGTTATATCAAGACGGTATCACTAAGTTAATGGTTTTCTGTATTCTCATCACTGTCTTCTGGACAAAAACTTGACATAGCTCGGAGAAAATAGATGTAAATCATTCTCTTACCTGCCACAACATAAGTGGTTTTGTTAAGCATGACGTCAGTACCATCCAGCCAGTTACCACTGCTCAGTCCTTCTCTGAATCTGTTCAGCGCAGGCGTACTGCTTAGCATGGTGACCAGGATACGGGTCGCACGTACCACTGTGGTGTTGTGAAGATGAGCTTGGATAAAGAGAAGAAGCCAGTCGAATCCCAGTGTCTCCTGAAGAGCATCTGCAAAACTGGAACAAATTGGATTCTTCTTAGTTTTGTGAAATCGAAAAGAAAAAGATCCTAGATAGCGTGTAATTCGTGCGTGTAAGTAGTGTAAGTCAGGTTTTTCGGAATGTAGTCAGCGCTAAACAAGTTAACAATGTTTTAACTCGTCTTGCATATGTGCTCTCGATGCTTTTAAATTTTTTTTTGGAATTTGAATTTTAAGAAGAAGCCAAAACTGACGGTCAAAACAGTTAACCTCACTGAAAAGTTACAAAACTGAAATTGAAACTAATGCTAATTCTTAGCGAAGATCTGCATTGCTCTTCAATTGTTTTACCACAGATTAAACAGAGAACCAGCTCTACACTGACCAAGGACAAACTATAGGTTAAAGCAGGCCGGGTTCTTAGAAAACCGGTTAACACTAAGGCCAGGATTAAAAGTTAATCGAAGTATTAATTTTCTTGTATGACAATGTTTTTCACAGCTTATATTTTGTGTAGTTTGAGATTATTCAAACTCAAAACTGAAGGACAAACAATATTTATATAAACTGAAAACCTCACCGCAAAGTTACAAAACTGAAACCAATATCCTCGTTAAACTTGGTTAGCTAAACCGGGCTCTGAACAACCCGGCCCGGCAGTTGTCTTACCTATGATCCAGTTCACCTCCTTCAGCATAGATCAAACAAAGAATAAGTTCCAACATCACATTACGCAAGCAAATGCGTCTCGGAGACAAAGACTCTTCTGCCTCCCCTCCCTCAGGGTTGGTTTCAGTTGTCGACACAACGTCCAGTTTAAGCTCGTTTTCATTGCAAGGGTGTTCCGGTAAAGTTGACACCAGGAATTGGCCAAATCTAACCAAAGGGGGAAAATGCTGTTACATTAAACAAGCCTGATCCCAATGCTATTCTTGAAAAATGTCGGCCCTGGGTCTTGAAACAAGAGATGAACCACATTTAACCCAGTGAGGTCCATACAGAAAAGATTGAGAACTATAGTCTCCT